TTAAAAATTCTTTCTCTTTTCGATTTATTATTAACGAATAAGAGGATTGAAAACTGTACATAATTTATATAACATTGTACTTACTTCAAATCCTTTCGTGTTTTAACCCCAGAGCGGTCTTCGGGTCTTTTTTGACCCACCGCCATTTTATGTTCTTAGTCATTTTTGCTGTTATCAAGTTTACGTTCCTTAACATTATTTTAAATGTTTATCGTCTAGGTTCATATGTCGCGTTGGAAGCAAAAATTGTTTCACATAAGGTCTCAGATCCTTTTTCACCCAAAAGTCTTAAGTGTAGGGGGAGTTCCCTTAACGCCGGACGGCACCTAATATCGGGCATTGGTTATATCTGCAATAATTGAAACGCTACCGAGCCGTTATTCAGCGTGTCTCCTAGAGGAGACAAAAGGAACGAAAATAAGTTTTCTACGCGTTTCAGTCGCGTGTGCACAGGTAGAGAGACTTATTTAAGAAAAACTTTAAGCGTCCGGTGCTAGGGGAACTCCTCCTGCAGTCAGAACGAAGAACGTAGTAGGGTTAATATACAGTAAATTCTCTACAAGAGTCAGTAAGTTTGGATTCTACAAGTGACACTATAGATGGTCCTACGCCTAGGTTGCGTCATTGCTGCGGCCATGTTATCTCGCTCGCAGTCAGTCAAGCGTGTAACACTACATCAGTCGGTTTCCTTTACGAGATTTCACGGCTCGACAAATCATAATAGAAAAATGTAATTTCTTTAATTTTACTTTTTTTCATCTGGAATTTTTTTTAACATATTGCTGCGATTTTTCTGATGAAAATGACATCAAACACGACATAATTTGAACAACATTTACTTATTAACACGCCAGTACAAGTGTTACTGTACTTTGTCCAGTTTGGTAGAGAATATCGTTTAAATGCAATGGAAGTTTGCCTGTTTTTCTAAATTTCAAAAATTCAGGCAGAGGTTGCTGTTAGGCGGCTACAAGATAATACATTTTAAGCATAGGATTATAGTATTATGCTTTATAATTTTTTTTTTTAATTGAAAATA